CATTGCAATATCCGGTACAAGTAATTAAAGAAGACACCGCAAGTTATAGTAGGATCTCTTATATGACTTAAGGTACCTGAAACCCTGTAACCCTAAACCCTNNTAAACCCTTAACCCCAAACCTTAAACCCTAAAATCAGGGATTTCGGAGGGTTTTTGGTATCCTGGAAGAGCCGAACCCAAAAGTCTCCAGCGGAGCATCCCTTGCAAGGGCACCCAACTTCTTGAGTTGAAAACCGAGGATGTTCCTATACAGGAACGTCTAAAGAAACCTGTAAAGGAACCCCTAAACCCTAAACCCCTAAACCCTAAACCCCTAAACCCCTAAACCCTATAAACCCTATAAACCCTAACCCTTGAAACGAACCCTCAAGGCTCTTGCGTTTGCACCCTGGTAGGAATTCAACCTCCACTCTCCTCAGAAGGTTGTTGGGAGATCCCTTTCAAAACTAAACCCCACCAAAAAGGGAAAACAATCAAACACAGCTAAAGCCTACACCCTCCTCGCCTCCCGGGACAGCGCTTCTACCTCGGCGCTGCGCGCCTCCGGGGCGAGACTCCGGCTGGGCTTAGGGTTTAGGGTTTAGGGTTGAGGAATTCTATATTGGGTATGGGTGCTGGTTTAGGGTTTGGGGTGGTTTGGGCTTTATAATATAAACGCCGCCACGGAGCCTTGAGGGCTTGCGGGTGAGGTCGTTAGGTGTTGGCTTTGAGGCTTTCAAGTTTTTTACGTGGCTATATAGAACCATAATATAAATGTTTAGGGTTTAGGGTTTAGGGCCAACTGTTAATCTTTCTAGTATGGTTCTATAAAGCCCCCCGTTATGACAGCTAATACACCCTGTTACAGAGTGGGGGTAGTGCCCAAGTTTAGTTTAGTGTGTCCAGTACCCTTAAGGGAACGAAAGGCTAACCTTTGGGATTCTATAGGGTTTATGGTATCCTAGAAAAGCTAGCGGCTACCTACTCCGTGGCCCAAAAGCCTACGTTTTCAAGGGTTGTATATAGAAATTATCATAAGGAGCCCTAGCAAGGTAGGTCTTGAATTCGGCTGCAGGTAGTTTCAAGGTACCAATACCCCAAAACCCTAAACCCCTGAACCGTTGTAGGGTCAAAAGTTTAGGGAGGGGTTCTGAGTCCTACCTGCCTCCACCCCCACCTTTTCAAGCCTCCGACGAAAGCAAAAAAAGCAGCCTGAAAGGTGCTCAGCTGCACAGCCTCTGTTCCTGGCCTTGGTTGGCTTCGGGTTTACAGTTTTGGGCTTTTGGGGCGTTCGGGGTTTCGGGCCCTTAGGAGTGTAGGGCTTTGGCGGTTTGGGGGTTTGGCGTTCTAGAGTTAAGGGTTTAGAGTCTAGGGCATCAAATTCGGGATTGGGGCTTGGGGCTCCCTGCTGCAGCGGTAGCTATCTATACACTTTATTAGGGCACCTTTTAACGTGTTTTTTTTGGGAGTGCCGTGCTTGTTAGGGGACCTATAATGGGACCCTAATTTACATTTGCTGCATTGTGGCTCCAAGGGGGTATGAGAAGGAGTTTTGGTCGTTAGGGTTGGGGATGACGGGAAAAGGCTTGAGGGCTTCGGTTTAGGGGTGAGGATGTTGGATTCAAGCTTGATGGATTTGGTTATGGCCCCCCTACAGAACCCTTGAGGAGGGCCCTTGTGGAAACTTTAATAAAGCGCTTAGGTTTAAGAGTGCATGGGTTTTGGTTTTAGGGTTGTGAATTATTAAGGTGTTGAGGGTTCCGGGCATCCCAAAACCTTAATATAAGGCCAGGCTCCTTCTTTCCTTAGGAGCTAGGATTAGGGGGACCATTGGGGATATAGCCCCTCCGAATAACGTCCCTTTTAAGAGAGCCATAAGTAGGGTTAAGAAGGGTCCCTCCCTAGGACTACCCAGGAATAGCTGATGTGCAAATTTGTGGAGTCCTTTCCCCAGACCCACGGGAGTACCCAAAAAGTATATCCTCTAATTTGGGACCCTATGCTACTAGAGGCTACTTGTTAGGAACCCCCTTACCGGGGGTCTGGGTTGTAGAACCCGTACAAGACCCTATCCAGAAGGGTACTCTGGTTGACCTGGTCTCTTCTCCCCTTAAAGGCCGGGAATAGATATGCTTTGCTTGATACCCTGAAAAGGAAACCGTAACACAGAAACAGGATACACCATGAGTTCACACCAACATCCTCGTGTTGCCGCAGTTTCGTATCCCTGCTTGTATGCACATCTCGAGAGCCAGGAGGAACGCTGTGAAGCTTTTAGGGCTTTGAGAAGGGCTCAACGAACATTCTACCATGGCTTACCAGGCGTTCTTACTTGTCCAGCTTCCTAGTGAAACCAAAGGCTGATCTTTTGGGATTATTCGGGGGTTATTTACAGGTTACCTACTCTGGTACTGACGGTTCTATGAGCCCAGTTGCTGAGTTAATAAGCACAAAAAAATCTAGACTTTCAGTTCTATAAGGGGTCATATTGTTCCAAAAAGCTTGCAGTGTACTCATTCATCTACTAAGTGAGGGTTCTACAAGGGGTGGATGGCCATGCCTAAATGACAAAACCCTTATGCTATGAGGGTACTGTGTTCTGTGACAAGGTTGTGATATCTTCGTTACCGAGTTCACAAGCCAAAGCAAGTTGTACACTATCAGTTCTGATATCATCCCAAACAGTGCGCAGTATACTAACTCAGCTACAAGGTCTATAACCCTAAACCCTAAACGCCCCCAAGACCAAATCGCTCTCACGCCTCAGAGAGCCTACACCCCGAAACCCCAAGAGCCCTTAGATCCCCACCCTAAACCCTAAACCCTCAACCCTAAACCCTAAAAAATCCCGTGGAACCCCAAGAGACCCCCGACTGCCTCGGTGTCTAAAGTGGCGGCTGAGCTGCGGAAAGTCATAGGGAAGAGCCGCTTGGCGTCGGAGGAGCTCCTCACAGCCCGAAAACCTCTGACTCACCCACAGAATAGGGTTTAGGGTGTAGGGTTTAGGGGTTTGGGTTCAGGGGTGTAGGGCTTAGGGTTTAGGGTTTAACTCCAAGTTGGGTGTTTACAATAAAATTTCTGGGTTTTCTGCAACAATAAACACTGAAAGTGATTCCCCAAGGAACACCCAGCAGAGTCGCACCGCCGATGCGGTTTTGGTGCTTTCGGGTTTCAGGTTTTAGGATGTGCCTAAGCCCGAAACCCGAAACCCTAAACCTCTAAACCCTAAACCGTGCGGGGCTTTGTGCGTTCCATGGTTTGGGGTTGCTCTTGCTGCATTCCGGCTGCGGAACAGGATAGAAGCCCAATAGCGGCGCCTGAATCATTATTAGACTCGGGTTTCGGGGTATACTCTACTATAATCACAATCAGGAACCCCCAAAACAGTATTGGTATAGTAATTATTTAGGCCCTACGTTACCCTAAACCCTATAAGCCCTAAACCCTAAACTCTAAACCCTTCTCCCTAAGACCTAATTGCCAAAAGCCTCTCCGGGGCTTGCACTCTCCGACTTGGCCAGGTTTGCGCAGTTTTCAGCCGATGCCCGCCGAGTGCCAGGGAGGGAAACTGTACACTGTACAAGATGAACTTAGAATCCTGGTGGGGGCTTCGTGACTAGACTGGATAGGGGCCGTAATAATTCGAATAGGTTTTTGGGTCCCACTGTACTATACATTTTAATAAGGAACCACCAAAAAAAAGCTCAATTATGCTATACTTTCTAAAAAGCAACCCTTACAGTGTAAATATAATAAGGAACTCAAAGGCCTTAAGGAATAGTACTGGTTTAGGCTTCTAGAATTAGCTAGCTTGCTAAAGGAGGGTCCCTTTTAGGCTTTTAGTAAGAATGCCGTACTCTTTTGGGGACCTGAAGAAGGGACCATAGTTTAGAGAACTACCCAGATAGTATCCTAAACACTAGACCCTAAACCCTAAACCCTAAACCCTACCCAGATAGCATCCTAAACCCTAACCCCTAAACCCTACCCAGATAGTATCCTAAACCCTAACCCCTAAACCCTACCCAGATAGTATCCTAAACCCTAAGCTCCAAACCCTACCCAGATTATATCCCAAATTGGGCAAGACGAGGATCCCGATGGGTGTGCGGGGGGTGCACTCTACTGTGATTGTAGCAAGGGGCCCGAAGGAAGGATTCATGGCCCTATATGACTCCTTTCATCACCATACTAGTATATTATAGCATATTATGGGATATTATGGTATATCATGGTATATTATCGTACATCTGTAGTATATTATAGATGCCCTAAATGACTTCTTTCATCACCGTTACAAAGTCCCCTGATCCTTTCGGCCAGCTTTACAGCTTGCCGAGGTCGTTGTTGGCTCGCTCGCGGGCATGAAGCCTCGGAGGGAACTGCGCTGTGTTTGGGTTTACGATGTTTTGTGGCGGATGCTGACTGAGTCTTAGCGACGCGAACAGGGTTTAAGATGGTTTAAGAGTTTAAGGTTCCCTAAACCCCTAAAACCCTATAAGCCTAAACCCCTAAAGCCCTAAACCCGAAACCCCTAAACCCCTAAACCCCATAATACCCTTAACCCTATAATACCCTAAACCCTATAACCCTAAACCCCTAAACCTCTAAACCCCTAGGCTCCCTGCAAGGGACTCCATGCAACCCTAAACTCCCGACTTCCCCCCCTGCAGGAATCGGATTAAGAAAGTCCCGGGCTCTTCAACCCGAGCCTTCCCTGAACTAGGGGGGTTTAGGGTTGTTAGGGTTTTTTTTGGGGGGAGGCCTTTCGCGCTGCAGCTTTGTCTGCGCGCGCTTTGGCGCCAGCTCTGAAGGCTTCTGCAATGCCCGCTTTACTAATACATTTCTCCAGTGAGGGTTCTTGGGGGCGGTGTGGTTAAGAAGACCTGGGAAGTGGGTACTGGTGGTTGTTAGGGTTTAGGGTTTAGGGTTTTGGGTTTAGGGATTGTCTTGACACAATGGAAAGCGCCACCTCAACCACAACGACAGCTGAAGCCCCGCCTGACTGATCCCGCTGGTCATTCGAGGTCTGCCAGCTTCGGCGGCAAGAATCCGAGGGCAGCGTCCCAATCCAGCCGTGCTCTCTTCGGACGCTCCCCCAGCATCGTCAGGCCCTCCGGGGATCGCTGAATTCAGAGTTTTTTTGGGGATCTCAGATGAAGTCTTGGAAACAACCCTAAACCCTAAACCCTGAACTCTAAAGGCCCTGAACTCTAAACCCTAAACCCTAAGCCCTAAACCCTAAACCCAACATCCTCGGGCCTAGGAGTTGAGGGCTCTTGGGCTTGGGTATGGGGGGGGCCGAAGCTCCACCAAGGCTGCTCTGATGGTCTTAATTTGGCTCCTAGGCTTTCTTCTTTGGTTCTTTGGTCTTATGGGCTCATAGGGTTTCTTCTTTGGTCTTATGGGCTCCTAGGCTTCCTTCAGGGTTGAGCTTGCATCCTTGGATGATGCCGGAGGTGTACCCTCAAAAAGCAGGAAAATATACGCGGCATACTGGTGCACCTGAACCCAACCGCGGGTTTTCTGTCACCGAAAAAACCTCAGCCGCCTGATGATGTTATGCTTGTAGGACTGGTCACTTCAAGACAGTGAAACTCTGGGTCAGATTCTAGGGCTTGGATGTGGGCAGTTTTCTAAAATAGGGTCCCTTTGGGGAGCCTTTTGTATAAGGGTGGTACTTTCTTGGGGACCTAAAAAGGGGACTTTATTTGTTCGAACTGCCCATGTGGGTGTAGAGTTTAGGGCCAGGGCTTAGAGGTGATTTCCTGCCATCTCTGGTTACGAACGGGCTGCTTTTCGGGAGTAGAAATGTTTAGGCTGTCGGAGTTTGGCATCAATCTAAACCCTAAACGCTACACCCCACTGGCAACAGGGTTCAGGGCTTAATTAGGATGGTAGGCGTCTCGGTGTTTTAGGGTGCAGGACATTATCCATGGTGAGGAATGCACTGTATGTCCTACTTTAGTGTACTTAGGGTTATCCATGAGTTTGTCCACACTCCGGCTCCGAATGCCATCGTCGTTGTGGCTATGGTGGTACTCTCTGATCTCTTTCTTGTAAGGCATACTGACGCTCAAGATCATAGTCACCGCAGTGGCCACGACACACGAACAGCAAACAAAAGAAAGCCTTATTTTCTTCGTAGGAAGATCAATAACAAATCTGTCTGCGGAAAAAACAGCCCAAACAAGACAATGAATACAATACTGCCAACTACACAGCCAGACAGCTCTTCGATACGATTAATGACCCCAACCAGGGCAAAAAGGTGAAGCAAGTGTACGACTTGTTGCAAGAAGAATGCGAACGTAAACGGACAACCTCATAGCAGCAATATGGGCCAACTGGCACATGCAAAGGACCATGGGGTAGAAAAAATTAATTGCTACGTCGTGATTTCAACAAGCTACTCAAGCAAGAGAGAGCTTCACAAAAGAGGCAACGCAATCACAAAGACATCAACCCTAAACCCCAAACCCTTAACCCTGAAGACCAAACCCTAAACACACAAGCCTAAGACATAATTCTTTCTGCTACCAATTATAACCTAGGATAAAGTGACGTAATGCAATATAACATTGTAACTTACTGCATCCCTGTTGGGGCTATATCAAACATGTTCATTCTTAATCCATATTGGGTTTTATTACAACAATTATGTAGAATCGTATCCAACAAGGACCCAGCAATGTAACTCGTCACTGAGGACAGCCTGGCCTTGGGCTGTGCAGCTTTGAGCGACGCACGGAGCCTTGCAAGGGCCGTCTTCGAGCTTAGGGTGGTTGGAGTTTAGGGCTTAGAGCTTGGAGCTTAGGGTTTGGAGGGTTTAGGGTTTATAAGGGGGTTTAGAGGGTTTAGGGTTAGGGTTTAGGAGTTTAGGGATTAAGGGTTTAGGGGTTTAGGGTTTAGGGTTTAGGTGGGTTGGAGTACAGGGTTTAGTTGCTGAGCTAATAAGCACAATAAACAGTGTGCACTTTCAGTTCTGTAAGGGATCATATTATCCCAAAAAGTTTAAAGTGTAGTAATTCAGCTACTAAGTAGGGTTTAGAGCTTGAAGCTTGGAGTTTAGGGCTAAAGATTAGTTCACGGTTGCGGGCGTTTTGCTGCGAGGGGCTTTCAAACCTGTGTGAAAGCCGTGTTTCCCGTGCTCAAAGAAACCCCTTTTAAGGGGCTCCTTTAATCATGGGCTTGCTTAACGGTGCCAAAAGTGGTTCCTTTATAATTATAAGAGCCCTAAACCCTGAACCAAAGGGTTCCTTTAAGGGTACCATAAAAAGGGCTCCTCTCTGGTAAGAATAAGGATACCCGTTTTCCTAATATTCGGCTTTAATAAGGAGACCGCCACCACCCCCCCAGCAAACAGGGCAAAAAGGGTACTACTGGGGAACCTAGAAGAACTCTTGAAGGAACACTAAAAGCCCTGGTTTCCATTGCCTTCTGCAGCTGACGGAGGAGAGCTGGGCCCGGGTGGCGCGGATCTTCCCAAGCGTGATGCGTGGGATCCACTCCTCTGATGTTCTGAGTTCAAGGTTCAGGGCACTCCGTTTCGGGCTTTGTAGGGCCGGGGCTGTATACTCTATTCTATACTCTATACCATATCTTACTGTACTATATACTATATACCATATATTATATATACTATATACTACAGAAGGAGTCTAACCAACGCATTTGTCGTTCTTCGGGTTCAGGGTGGCTCTGCCTTTTGCTGGGGGGGGGGGGGGGGGG